AGCAATATTTAAAAATATTTTCATGATATAAAAAAATAATTGTAAATTATTTTTACAATTATATAGCAGTATGTTATCTAAAATAATATGCTTGTATATTTCATGTTTGAATAAGAAATATACAAACTATTTTGCTTGTATTCTTTGATAGTATTGATATGATTGAATTGGATGTGAATATTATATTTCTAAATTTTGTGTAATTCAATATTGTAAAATTAAAAAAAAAACTCTTCGCACAGTGCAGAGAGAGTTGAACCAAGTACGGAGTAAAAATAAAAAATAAAAAAGTGCTGAGAGAAAAAAAAGTCTCCGCACAGTACGGAAAGAGTTGAACCCAAGGAGTAAAAAAAAATCATTTCCGCATAGTGCAGAGGGATAACAAACCAACTCTCTGTACAGTACGGAGAGCAAAAAAATTCTCCGCACTGTGCGAAGAGAGTTAATCTCTTTGCACAGTGCGGAGAGTTGGTCCGCACTAGGGCTGGACATTGTCCGGTTCGATTCAACCGAGCCGGACCCAAAAATTTCGGGTACTTAATAATTGGAACCGTCGAGTCCAAATCTAATTATGGAACCGTTCGAGTTTGGTTCCATTCAGTTCGATTCGATTTTGTTCGGTTCCGTACCATGATTACATTTTTTAACATTTACAACACTACATAAATACAACTAATAATATGTTGAGTCATAGCTTTTACAAATTAACAAAATCCCATTAAAAACATATAAGTAACAAGTTGTCCAATAACATTAATTTACCAATGTATACATATACCAAAAAGTAGATACTAGTATTAAAATATCGGCAATTCATATCAATAATTCACTTGCTTCAGCCTTCAAGCCTTCAAAATCAAGTCTACATAAAACAATTAAATATCAATTAAAAGTCATAGAAATAAAATATTTTTAAGTATTGCTAATACTTACCAGCTATTTGATTAATCATCAATTTCTTGAGTTGCCATACGAAAAAACTCTACAGAAAAAATTGAAAAAACACAATTAAAAAATATAAATGAACTAAAAATTGTTCAACTAATAAGATTTAATAAGAAAATAAAACATATATTTTATTACATGTCTCAATGCTCTCATAGAACTCTGTCTCTTCAATGCAAATTCTATCTTCGGAAACTCTCAAAAGTCTAGATTCTTCCATTTGCCAGTTTTGTGTACAAATCAAGGCCTCAACTGTTTTAGGTCCTAAATGGGTCAAGAATGCGCCCTCCAGTACTAAATGCTGACTTAGAAGCCACCGTAGATACCGGAATGGCAAGAACATCCCTTGCAACTTCAGATAAAAATTCAAATCTTGAACTGTTGATCTTCCACCATTTTAAAATGTTAAAGTTTTCATCAGTAGCATCTTCAGTAGGTTTCATTAGATATCGTTGTACCTCATCTTTTCCAGAAAAATCCATTTTGCTAGTTTTCATTTTCTTGTACCCAAAATCAAAATTACAATCATCCCAATCATCATCATCATCTGAACCCTCCAACAAAGTGACTCGATCATTATATTCATTGCCACTACTTCCACTTCCACTAGCTCCATTCTTTGAACGATGACGTCCCTTGTACTGGTTATACAAAGCATACAATAATTTCATGACCTCGGTTTTTGTGGCTTCAACCTTAACAGAGTCATACAAGATACCAATACAATGTACAACAAACTCCAACTTATACCTAGGATCAAGCACAATTGCTACAATCAAAATCTTGTTCATTTTATCAACATTACCCCAATACTTGTCAAACTTAATCTTCATGTTGTTTGCTATGCTACTTAGCAAATAATCTTGTTTGTCACCCATTTTTTTCAAAATTTGCTCAATTTTACACACTTCTTGGAAGTAAATATTGGAAGTAACATTCAATGAAGCACTAAACTTCAATGTGACATCATAAAAGAATAACTTCAATGTGAAATGATTCCATATTTCCGACCTCTCATTAGGTTGTTTTTTGTCTCCCATTTGAGCACCCAAAACTGGTAGGAAAATATAAAGAATAACTTTATCCCAGGTTATAAAATACAAAGACTAACACACTTGCATTTATCTTACACAAAACACCACCAAAACACACTTGCATTTATCAATATATGTGGATTTGCAGGAATAATGATCAATTCAGATTTGCAGTAACAATAGGAAAGAAAATACAACAAATGGCAGTATTTATCAATCACAAAACACCACCAAAACAACAGGAAGAAAATACAGTAAGAACATCTCAATGATTTTGAACATACTTAAACACCCACCATTTATACTCAAGCACTAGCATTAGTTATTTCTTATGTTCCTACTGATATTAAACAAGATTGACAATTAAAGAAAATGGGAGAAAGTTGCAGATTTTTTACTTCACTGCTATGGAATTAATTTCCATGGAAGTTTGATTTTTCTCTTTCTTTTTTCGAGTATATGTATAACTAGAGGAATTATTTTCCTCTCTTATCGATATATATATTATTTTTTGCTTTGACATTAAATAAATTAACCTCCCAATCTGGACGAATTTTTCTACCAGTTTATCAAATTTAAGAGGGAGGTGAAGCCTAATGTTATTATAAAACTCTTTCCGTCCAACCAACTCTAGAGGAAAATTAATGTAGTACGGTCTCGATTGCAAGATATTTACCATCAGTCTTATTAACATGTTTTGGTATGCATGTCTCATATAATCGTGCATTGAACGAGTACTATTTAGCCAACTCTCACTCTCTCGCGACTCTCTCCCTCACCTCTATTATCAAAACTCTAACCCTATTAATTCTTCTGAAAAATGTCTAAAATTGATAGCAAAGCAAGTAATCAACTCTCTCTAAGATATCTAAGTATTAGTTTGGTATTTAACCCCACTACATAACATTTATTAGGCAGATAAGAAGAGAATCGGCGTCGGCAAAAAATTTAGGGCTTACTGTCGAATGGTTGGAGGTCTCACCTTTGATGGGCTTTCGACTTTCGGAGTTCACTGCTTCGAATCGATGGCGACGTTGGGGGCTGAAGTGCTGAACGAAGAGACGAGAGTTGGTCTTTGAAGTTTGGAGTCTTTGGACGACCGAACCGAATGGAGTTGGGACTTGGGGGCGAACTGAGCGTGGGGTAAAATGTAAATGACAATGTTAATAGGGTTGGGTTTTTTAGTGAACTATGTAGTTTTACTAGTTTATACTTTATTTAGGGTTGGATAATGGAATTGGATACTTGGATTTAGTGGGTTAGGTAGAGATTTAGAGTTGGGCTAAAAATGGAAGATTAAAATGGGCTTAAATGCTTGATGTTGGGCTAAAAAAAATTTAAAAATGAAATAAATAATTGGGCCAAAAAAATTATATTTAGAAAAAATTAAAATAATTTGATTTATTCAATATAGAAAATAAGAAATAAGAAAAATTCGGTTCTTATTCGGTTCTTCTATTATTGGTCTACAACCGAGAACCGAACCGTACCCGTCGGTTCTCGATTCGGATACCCGTTCGGGTATTTAAATTCAGAAGAACCATCGGGTTCGGTTCGGAAGTTTTAAGAACCATCGGGTTTGGTTCGGTTCGGTTCGGGTCCGGTTCGGTTCGAGAGTTTTGTCCAGCCCTAGTCCGCACCATGGCAAAACTCTCCACATACTGCGGAGAAAAAAAAACTCTCTGCACAATGCGTAGAGAGTTGAACCATGTGTGGAGTAAAAAAAAAGTGCTGAGAAAAAAAACCTCTCCACATAATGCGAAGAGAGTTAAATCATATGTGGAGAGTTGGCAAACTCATCGCATAGTGCTGAAAAAAAAAACTCTCCACAAAGTGTGAAGAGTTAACAAACCAGCTCTCCTAACAGTATAGAGAGAAAAAAACTCTCCGCACAATGCGGAGAGCTGTTTTCAAATTCGTTAATTACAAGTCAAATTTCAAAATTGTAAATTTTTCGTATATTCAACGAAATAGAGTTGAAAAATATGGCTCAAAATCAATTGTGTCTTCTTTAAATTTCAGTCACAGCTCAATTTCTTAACATGCAAATCATATTTACGGTATTGGAAATGAGTTTTCTCGTGATTCATACAATGAAACAATATATGAGTTGTGCAAAAAAGAGGATATTGATAGTACCATAGCATTGCTTTCACAAATAGAGGCTCTAGGGTACCACCAAATTCAATATTTTACACTTGCTTGATAACAGCTCTTAAACATTAGAAGCGGATACAATTTTTAATGAAATTATACTTTTGGGTTGTAGGCCAAGAATTAAAGTATTTAATGCATTGCTCAAAAGTTGTTTGAGAAAATGCCTCTTGGAACTTGCGGATAAAGTCCTGAGAGTTTTTACTTTTCTTTTCACACTGTGCGAAGAGATAGTTTGTCATCTCTCCACACTTTGCGGAGTCTTTTTTTTCTCATGTGCGGAAAATTTATTTTTTTTGTCTCATAAAGTTTATTTATACTAAAATTATTATTATTTTTCTATGTTATTGGCATGATACGTGTGTGAAAGAATATTTGTCAATCACTATAAACAAAATTCTTCACAAAATGCAAAAAATAAAAATGCATAATAAATCTTCTTATTATAATAAAAAAATTTAAAAATGATATAAAAAATTTATTTTTATCTTCAACAAAAAATACATTTAAAAATTAGCAATTTCATAACCACTTTTTTTTTTTCAATTCTCGGAAATACAATTATAAAAAATGAACCAATATTGAATTACAACATTTAATACTTAAGAAATTCAATATTAAATAAATTTTATACATTTATAACAAATTATAAACTCATATATGCAGTTTACCGTATATACAGCTTACCGTATATGCTGTCTATCGTATTTATAGTTTACCGTATTTATACCCTATCGTATTTACAAACAATTTACCGTATTTGCAACTTACCATGTATGATGCCTACAGTATTTGCAGCTTGCTGTATTTTTATATACCGATTTTTGTACTTGCAAATACCGAGAATGCAGAACACCGTACATTTACTTACCAAACCGAATTTCAAAAAAAATTTCATATTTTTATTCTTTCAATATAAGTATAAAATAAATATTAAATATATATGAAGTACAAAATATAAATGCATATAAATATGGTGCTCAATCTTCAATTTTTCAATATTGAATTACACAAAATTTAGAAATATAATCTTCACATTCAACTCAATCATATCAACACTATCAAATAATACAAGCAAAATAATTTATATAATCTCGTATATTTCTTATTCAAGTATATTTTTTCTAGATGACACAATACTGTTATGCAATTGTAAAAATAATTTATAATTATTTTCTTATATCATAGAAATATTTCTAGATATAGCTTCAAAAACTTTTCAAATAATTAAAATTTATACACTAATAAAAATACAATAAATGCAAAATTCGTGCAACACACGTGACAATCACTGTGTGGAGAGGTTTTTTTTTTTTTTTAAACTTCACACTGTACGGAGAGTTTGCCAACTCTCCGCACTATACGATTTTTTTTTTTACTTCGCACTGTACGGAGAGTCCGCACTTTGCGAGTACAGTGTCTACACAAAATGTCATCTCTCCGCACTGTGCGGAGAATTTTGCCATGGTATTTGCCATCTCTCCGCAAGCAATGTACGGAGTTTTTTTTTTTTACTTCGTACTGTATGGAGAGTTTGTCAGCTCTCCACACATTGTTTGTCATCTCTCCGCACTATGCAGATGTTTATTTATTTTTATTTTTTTTAAAAGCTCATGTGCGAAGAATTTTTTATTTTTATTTTTCGCTCATGACATTTTATATTTACTAAAATTATTATTATTTTTTTAATGCTAGTGGCATGATATGTGGAAGAACATTTGTTTGACATAATTATTTTTTTAATGCTAGTGGGATGATGTGTCGAAGAACATTTGTTTGACATAAAAAAATGAAAAATAAAAAATGATATCGTGCATAGTAAAATTGAATTTA